CTCTGATGCTGCTGCCCCAACAGATGATGGCAGAAGAGATGACGCTCTCAACAACAGACTTATAGAAGATCTCTGATATCTGAACCAACGGCTCGGTGGCACCCCTGAAAAGGACATCAAGGCTGTCTTTTCCACTTCCTCCATGTACAGGTTTGCAACAATAGGAGAAACTGGGGATCCCATGGCACACCCATGTTTCTGCCTATAATATTGCCCCCCGTACGTGAAGTAGGTTGACTCCAGGCACAGTTTGAGGAGTTGGCACACTTGTTCTGTGGAAAGTGTGGTTCTGCTGCTGAGAGAGGTGTCTGATTTTCAATGGGGATTTGTTTTTACCGAATATCCTCCAACCCCCACCCACAATGCAATGTGTGCTCAGAAAGCTGTGAAATTGTCTATTATGTGCTTGTGTATGCTGTTTAAACGATGATTCAAGTGAGTGAATCTTGAAATACAGTCTCAAAATTGTTTTTTATTCATTTAACTGATACAAAAACTCATTGATGCCATWATAGAAAGGCCAGTTCTTTCAGCTAATGGAATGGGAAGTACATACCTTTAAACTGCGCTATGTTTACTTTGAAAGTCACAATATTAATCTTGAGTTTTTCTCATAACCAYATTAATTATGTTCCAGATGCAAGTCAGAAAACCAAGAGGATTTGTTGTGCTCAGTGAATATAGCCAATAACTGTGTTTTTCTGTATTTAAGCACTTAGCAACATTTTCATAGTTTATATCAAAAATTGTAAGGTTTAATGAGATACAATCTGACAGAAAGTGAGAATAARTTGTTTGTTACTGCAGCTATCACAACTTTTAATACTATGGGCAGCCATTTTGGATTTCAAGCTATTTTTGACTTTTTGAGTCAAAAATCCAACTTCAGGAGGTGTTCCAAACTTGGATCTCAATAAACAGTCTACAAGCTAACTGAATTAAGTGTAATAATTTGGGTGTTCAGAGCTGAAGATGAATAAAATATTTGCACGTCAAATTGAAGTGAGGCATGTCCAGCTCTGATATGGTTTAACCTCTAGAGCCCCCAGCATTTCCCGTTTTCTATATCTTCTAACTTCTGTTAACAGGATCTGTCAGTTGAACCTGGACATGTTTGGTATCAATAAAAAGCTAAGAATCTTGGCTAAAAGCTCATGGAAACGGGTTTACATCCACCAAACACAGTTCAAATGACTGTTGAATCAGAAAGTAAACAAACTGTACAAAATGGGATTGTTATAAATCTGTAAATAAATTACAACAAATCTGTAAAGGAAAAAAATTAACATTTGTTCTTAAAGTAAGTCAAAGCAGATACCA